AAAGATATCAATTTTCGAAAATGTGAAAACGCATAGAACTTAATGAATTTTTCTTAAAAGTAGAAATACTAAAATCACGTTTTCAAAACAAAAAAAAGGTGAAAAGTGATAGCTGATTATATCAACGTAGGAAACCAAGCTTTATTTTACCAACCAACAAACAAAAAAACAGATCGACAAATTACGAACCTGGTGACCGAATCGGGAGAGCCGTGGTTTTCGTACACGATGGCCTTTGACGGTGGCGACATAATGGTGGAGAACGATTTAAGACCGCTGTTTCGGTTCATGTTAGGATTTGCAATGGAGATCAGAGATATCGAGCAAGAAAATAAAACTTAAGGAATCTTATTCACGAGAAATTCTCAGGCTTGACACGTTGAATTACGTTTTCAGCTTCAGACTTTAGAAGAGAAATTTCCGGAATTTTGTGTTTTAAGAACAATGAAGAAAATAGTGTTGTGCATTAGGAAAAAACCAAACTGCAAGAGGAAGCTTTTTAGAAATTTTGATAAAGTACTCACTTGTTATAAAACATCAGCGTACTAGTCTCTTAAATATAAAATCCTTTTTTTTTTAAGTAACGTTGCAAATATTTTATTCCAAAGATTTAATCCACATTACTGTTTACCAATTGGCATTAAACAATATACAAAGAAACAAAACAGTCCATGCACATCAATATGGGATGTGGTATCAAATCAAATTAACATCCATAAAGACTGTAAAAGGAAAAGAAAAAAAAAAAACAGTGGCAAATATGCTTCATCCTCTTTATCGTTCGAAAAACGGTTTTAAAAGTATAACCGTTTGAATAACATAATTTTATCAATCAGAACCTCCAAAAGATTACAATATCATCGAGAAAACGGATCTTCTGCACTACAAGAAAACAAGCAGTATTTCGACGGCATCCCGACGGATTTCCGAACAAAATGAATCCGTCGGTTTATTGTGACGGATTTTCGACGGACACGAAAACCGTCGGTATTCCGTCGGAAATCTGACGTCTTGTCCCGACGGATTTCCGACGGAAATAAGCTGTCATATTTTTCCGACGACTTTCCGACGGAATAACGACGGAAATCCGATTTTTCCGATGTTGGCAAAGTTTGATTGGTCAGCTCATACCGACGGAACTAATTCCGTCGGAAATCCGATGTCGGCAAATTTGAGTGGTCACCATTTCGTTAGCGGTGGCCGATGGGATTGGTGGGGTGTTATGTCGGAGG